TAATGTATATATAATAAAAAAATATATCTTTAATTGACCTTAGAGCCACATATCACATGGAGGTTGTGTATAATATATAGGTACCAAAACGTTTTGTTATCAATCGCCAACTTCAATCTAAAATACACAACCAATATTACAATAATTATAATTACATCTATCTATCTATATACGGGAATATTTCAATATAATAATTCATTCCATTGGTCGGCGTCTTTTGGGGCTGGGTTGTTTCTCTGACAAATTACTGTCAGAGCTCTCATCGTCAGAAGGTGGTTGAGCAGCTGCCGAATGTTGAAGACTGAACTCATTTGTAGCAAGGGGTGGGCCCCAGAGATCAGCGGGTCTAATAAATTCATGGACCGGATGTCCCGCGGGTCGTGGAGCAGCTACTCCTGGGGCTATTAACCTTGGACCATTAGTAGGAGGAAAGCTATTTAGCAGCATCTGTGCTTCCTCATGTAAGCTACTGTCAACAGAAGACACGGTCAGGTTGCTGTCTGTACTGATGCTAGACAGCGCTTCTTCGACTGGATCCGATGAACTGAGACCCGACGAACCCGATGAAGTACTAGGGTCCGATGAACTATTATCCGACGAATTACGATCCGATGAACTAGAGTCTGACGATTCAGTTTCGAGCCGATAGAGTTGGTTAAATGCTCTTTGCGCTAGCGCATCAAAATCATACCTTCGTGGAGGTTCACCTGAGGTACGACGCTGAGGCTGGGTGGTTATTGCTGATGGGGGATGTGACCACGGTACATGAACTGTGGGTTGACTCGTGATATCAAGAACCATGGGCGAATTCACCCTAAGAGTGCCAATGCTTAATGTGGGTGCGATGGAAGATACAAGATTGAGTGTATCATTTGCACTCTCGACGGTGTTGACCCTGAGCCCGTCAGATAGCGGGACGGGGGGAGGGGGTAAACTTTCTAGGGTTTCTTGAAGTTTAGCCTGATTTTTCTTCATTAACTGTAATTTCCTTTGCGTAATTTCCTGAATGAAATCTGATTTCTCTTCATTATCTTCATGTTCGACATCCATGTGGTCGTCTATGTAACCCAGTGGCATACTGTTCGCATAAGAATGAAAATTTTGATTCATAAAAGAGCTACTTGGTTGCATTTCTTGGTCAGCGGAGGCGTGAGGCGAAGATGTGGCACCTTCATTGCTTGGGCCTGGTTTGGGAGATTCGTCTTGAGACTGCATGTTTGCCTGTTTTTCACTCGGGCTGCTCATTAAGCCGGTTAAATCACTAACCAACTGGCTCATACCATCCAATCGAGCTAACAATGCTTTTTCCTCTATAGCTCTAGTGAAATCATTGGTTTGATTTTCATTGAAAGGGACTAATCTTAAATAAAATAAAAGTTTATAAACATCCTGTCGGATATTCTTTGTTTCCGTGGTACGTGGTTTAGACAAATCAATTTTTTCTCCGAAAGCGTCTGTTACAATGTTTCTTGTGAATATAATATCTTCTTGGGAAAACTTTTCTAAACAAATGTCCACTAACACTTCTACTGGGAATGTTTGTTTATTGAGGTGTTTCACTATGAAAGATATCACATCACATTTAGGTTTTTCCATGTCCTAACTGATACCAATAATTCACATTTGTTTATAATTAATATTCACAAACGAATTCACGTGTTAATAGGTTTAACTTAGCTGTCAAAGCGCAACGGGCGCTCGAGCCGGCGGTGCTCTCGCGACTGCATTACTCGTCTGGGATGCGTCGGGAAATAATTTGCCAGCCTACAGAACATCGATCAGGACATTGTGCGGGAGTTTAAAAGATAAAAAGGACTTCTATAATGTTAGGTCCTTAATAGAAAATAAAATAACTAGAAAACTGACACGTAATTGAAATATTTATGTTTATTATAAGTTCAAACATCGTCTTTTATACCTGTGTATCTCTTCTTGGGTAAACGTAAATGGTAAGTCCAGCTTGTTGAAGTTCAACAACTTTTTTAAAGTTTTCCACGCAAGGAGCTTTGCATTTTGGACAACATCTAAATCAGTTAAATAGAAATATTAGAATAATGTAATTTGCTAAACGTCCGCAATTATTATATAACGTATCTAAGCAGTAGCACCTACTTAGTTTATTTAATAATTTAAATTCTTACCGACTTCTATCTTCCATCTCAATTTTCTATTGCATTACCATGATTAGAAAATGAGATTTATACTAAAACACTAAAAGTAATAAGATTATAAATGTACTTCATGATAAAAATAATTTATTCTTTGAAATGACAGAATAGGATCATAAACACGTTTCATTTATTTCAGAATTCGACGAAGACTACAATAATAAAACAGGAAAAATTCAGATAAAATTATTTGACTACGTCACGGTTGTAGTAATTATAGAAAATAATTTAAAACCAATCGTTTCAATACAAGAAAAATTTAACATTTTAGAATAATTTAATAATCCCGCCATCTGAAACCATTCAGGTTAACGAACTACGCACCGGCTGAAGCAGTGAATGTTATTTGAACGAATGAATGCAAGCTGATGACATTAACAGTGTTGCTATCTTATTCTTAATCGTAATTCTTATACTATTATATAGGTGCTCTATTATCATCTGCCACGGCTTTAATGGGAGGTAGTGTTATGTTTACAGATTACAATTGTGAAGAAATTTCGTACCCCGGACGAGTTAATTACATAAAGTAATTAAGTAAACATTGACTACATTCTGCATAATGTGGTTCACAAATTACGCGCAATGCGTCGAAGAATCTGAGAATGAAAACGGAAATCAGCTGACTAGTTCGTCACTATCTAATCTACTAGATACTCAATAGGCAGGCTAACAAGAGTTTTAAAAGTGCAATTACTTACCAGGTACGACATTCTTCCGAAAAGCTGATGTAGGTAAATAAGATTATAAACTTCCCATCACACTTAAAACAGTTTTTTACACACTTTTACAGTTATTTACACACTCTCTACCTACTTATTTACAAAACTGTTGCACAATTCCACCTTCGCGTTGCACACAAATGAAGGCACGCTTCCAAACATGTCATACAACATTATTTAATGTGTCCATTTTACTTTTACTTTGTTTCGCGTTTCATTTAAAAGACGCCACAAGTTATTGTCTGTATCATCGTAAACTCCGGCAGGATCCCTTGTGCTCGCAAGAGGATGACACCGAAAGAACTCTAACACTTCCTCTTCGAGTTCTGATTTAAATTTCGTCGTCTGGGAGGCATTTTTACGTAGCGCGCGCGTATCTCCGACATTGAAACTAACGTGAACGTCCGGGCAGGCGGGGGATCAGCTTTTCGGAAGAATGTCGTACCTGGTAAGTAATTGCACTTTTAAAACCCTTGTTAGCCTGCCTATTGAGTATCTAGTAGATTAATTAGATAGTGACGAACTAGTCAGCTGATTTCCGTTTTCATTCTCAGATTCTTCGACGCATCGCGCGTAATTTGTGAACCACATTATGCAGAATGTAGTCAATGTTTACTTAATTACTTTATGTAATTAACTGGTCCGGGGTACGAAATTTCTTCACAATTGTAATCTGTAAACATAACACTACCTCCCATTAAAGCCGTGGCAGATAATTATAGAGCACCTTATAGAATGTTTGGCGCATGGACCGACACATTTTTTTCAGGTATTTAGAAGTTGTCGATTACATGGGACTCATAACATAAATAGTGAAAAGTGGGTGTTACATTGTACAGTGGCATAATGTGCACCTCTGCCTACCCTTTCGGGGATAAACGACGTGATGTTATGTATGTATGTATATGGAAGCTGTCGTTTACTTGAAAACTCTTCGTCAACAGTGTCACGGTTGGTCACGTATGACTTCTTTATTAAAATAAACAAAATCCCAAAAATTTGCTTTTAAAACAAAATAACTATTTAAGTTGTAGGTCTAGTAGTTTATAATAATAAATTATTTTGTCATAAACTCCAGGATCTATTAAATCTAAATATATGTTTGTCACAAAAAACTTATCAGCTTCCAAATTTTATATTTCCTACACACGTCTAAAAATTTTAATTTCTAAATGTATTATAAAAAAAAACTGAAAATGAGCACTTGTGGTTATCAAATAGAATCTATTTTTCATCGCAGGTAACAATGCGGTTAAAAATTCTTTCATTTATGTGTCTTTTGACCAGTGGAAGGTACGTCTGGATGCGTACTTTGCGCTGGCGATCACTGAGTGTGTGGGGCAACCATTTGTCAAAGTTTTTTACCATGCCAATTTAAAGCAAATAAACCAATATTGTTTTGACGCTAACATCGACACCTGCTGCTAATTCAGCCGCAGATTGTACATCATCAGCCTCCACAATCGCCTTCAATTCGTCGCTGTCGACCAAAGCCTTCCGACGACCGTGAGATTCACTTTTCAGTTTTCAGTCTTCTCGGAAGTTTTCCGGAACGAAAGCGAGCAAATCAATAACTGGTGGTGCCTTGGTTTGTAGTGTTAGCTCCATAAACGTCGTTGATGTTGCGTGCTGTTTGTGCCGCGTTGCTGCCACGATAATTAATCGAATTTTGAACGTATTCATGATGACGGAAAATATTGAAAACTGATGTAAATGTCAATAATCAAATGACTACTTTTGGAAAATAAATAGAAATTGGAAATAGAAAATAAATTAAGCCGCACTGCGATGGATCCGCGGTGGTTATAAACCGCGTAAATGTGCCACCAGGACCCTGATAAATAATTCACTGCATTATAAATTCGCTATATTAAATTAGTATAATAAAAATGCACAAAGATGGTGCACCATTATCGGACATTATTATTATGCAGAATTTAACGGAATGCTGACAACCCTTTCAATGAACGAATGATTTTTAATTGTCATTGTTGTCAAAATGAATTAGCATGAAGTTGACGTCTAAGAAACGTCTTTTGAAAATTAGCAAATCGAGAATTTGGTTATAAAATCGTAAAAGTTGTTTTGAATTATTTAAAAGTTAAACGTGATGCCTTTGCAACGAGTCGTAACATTATCTAATATATTACTTCAGAGCAGTCGCTCCAGTTACGTATTTAATACAAAATGCCATCAGATAAACAAGTACAAGTGAGTAAATCGTTTTAATAAATACGCAGTTTCAAGTCGTAAACAATATGTTTTGAAGCCAAAACCACTTTTATTTTTAACTTGTCTTGTGTTACAAAGGAATCTATTAGCAGAAAATTGAATATAATGAGCACCGTTTTACAAGGCCGTCACCAATGTGCTCCTATTGTTAATTTCATATAGGCCTCTTACAGTGCCTTGACGGTTGCAAGAAGTCTTCTTATTTATTATTTCTTGACTCCACACATTTAGCATGCCTATAATCCACCAAATTCTCTAAAATTGTTTACATAATAGTTTATAAATTACCTACAAAAATTATTTAATATTTTGTTAGTATTACATCATTCATCATCATAATTTTTATTCATCACTCATAATATGTTTCCAGATGTTTCACAACAACCAGATTAAAACATACAAAAGTACTAAAAAGCGAAAAAGAAAAATTACGGACATATGTTGTACAGAGGTACATCGACTATGTCAAGAACTACACGAATGTCTTAGAAAACAGATTTCCCACTGCAGTGAAAATGTACAGAGTGTTTAGTGTGGGAATCAAAGATTTTCTACGAGATCTCAAAACATATATATCGTTACGAATCAAAATCACAAAGGATAAAGGATTTAGTAAAATGACAAGGCAAGAGATTGAATTATTTCAGAAGATGCCTTCAGATATGTGGAGAATAGCACCAGTGCTGATACTTTCTGCAGTCCCTTTTGGAAACTATGTTATTTTTCCTTTAGCGTAAGTACTCCACCTGCGATTATTAAACTTAATTGTCATTTGACTAATATTGTTTTGATATTCAACACAATATTAACACATTTTTAGTGTGGGAGACCACTGCTTCAGCATGAATGGGTGTGCTCGACCAGCCTCACAAAAAACCGACATGAAACAATGCTTGTGTTGTGTTTCGTCATATGACTGAGGTTAATGGAAGCCCAATTACCTACTCCCCCTCCTTCCCAATCTGCCCAATTCCTGAATACCCAACAATCCTCAAATTTATTATCACCAAAAGGCTGGTAACACATTCGTATTGCCTCTAGTAGTCAGTATATAGCCATGGGTGACGCAGATTGCTTACCATCTGGTGATCCGTTTGCTTGTTTACTGACTTATCCCATAAAAAAAGATTGTATCTTCTGGGTTTTGCTCTAATATAAATACTTTAATATTCATCAGGAAATAAATTTATTCATTTGCTCCGTGTGCCGTAAAACATCACTACACCAATATCTTTTTAGTAACTAAATGGGATAGAGGTATATTGTACTTTATATCATATTGTACTTTAACTATGATCTAATCAGTGTGTATTACTTTTCCAGATTTCTAAAACCAAGGAGTCTCCTCTGCTCCCATTTCTGGTCTATACAACAAAAATTAGAATTTTCAACCCAAGATTTGGCCGAACGTTTGCGGAATAATAAGCCTGTGTTCCGTGCTCTACAGGCAAAATTGGATGCAATACCAAATAATGAGGTTAGGGATAGATGGAAGAGAATCTTAGGATTACTTGGCTCTGGAGTACACCCTAAAACTGATGATGTTTTAGCATGTAAACAATTGTTTATTGACAATGAACCTTATGAACTAAGCAATTTGACCTATGCACATGCGGTGAGTATTATCTATCATTTAAGTCTTATAGCTTGCATATTGGAATACCCTTTTTGTTACACACATAACAATCATAACATCACGCCTTTTATCCCCGAAGGGGTAGGCAGAGGTGCACATTATGCCACTGTACAATGTAACACCCACTTTTCACTATTTATGTTATGAGTCCCATGTAATAGGGGGTGAGCCTATTGCCATATACCGGGCACAATTCCAGACTCCGTGCTACTACTGATATTTTTTTACAACCCAGTAATACTTTGCCTGAGAATCACACCCGAGACCGCTTGCCCGGCAGTCGGACTAACGAGGCAGTCAACAGTGGACACAGTGGGTGGTAGTCACACATAATGTGGGCACATAAACAGACTTGTTATGATATTGCCTATACTTTATGCAATGATTTGTGATAATCAATCTGTTTTGTTTCCTTTTTGTGCATTTACATAGTTTTATCTGCCTATTTGGTTGTGTTTTGTTAATTCTTTATATTATGTATGGATTAATGTTGTTATATTAAACATATACTTTCATAATGCCATGCGTAAATACTAATTTTATGAAAGCGAATGTTTCTTGCATACCGTAAAATGGGGTGAATAGGGATCCAGGGGTGAATAGGGAAAAAACCAGGCATCATTTTTAACTCTAAATGCTAGTTTGCAAATCGTTCCAACTTTTACCATTTTTTAAGGGATTATAGTAGATTATTGGAACTTTTCTATGGCTACATTGAACAAGTGTGAAATCAGCTGCAAACTATCAAAAATGTCAATTGAAAATAGTATAGACAAGATACCGGTTATTACAGTGTATAAAACTTAGCTGTGTAAAGGTTATTTTGTATTAAGCTAATACGAGTGTTAGTTTTATACCTTATTTAGGGTTTGGGCCGTCATATCCACGAAAGTTAAGCATCAGTTATTAATTAATATGACTATAATTTAGATTTTTAGAATGGCATGCGAAATTTGTATTTTTTGGGGTGAATGGGGACGTCTCAGGTATGAATCACAACGAAAGGGGGGTTAATCGGGATGAGGATGGGATGAATAGGAACGACTTATGTATGAATAGGTACAGCTTTATAGGGTTGTCACTAAGCAGACTTAACATTTTTAAATTGTGTAATCTAGGTAATAATTATTTTTTTATTTCATAAATTAGCGAGGTATTACACTGCGTCGTTAATCTAGTTATTGCAAGTGCAACTGCTGACCATGAAGTCTCAGGATCGGTTCCCGAGTCGACCCAAATTTTGTTGGAATTTTGAAATATTTTACGGAGTCCGAAATTGTGTCCGGTGTATCTTAGTAGGCTTGTCCCCTATTTCTTGGGCTGACAACATTACTGACGAACACTGGCTGTCACATTTAATACGTAGGTACATTATTTTTTTTTGGGATGGGAAATTATTATATGACACCTCCTGCTCTGGCCGGAGCCGAAAGTTTATTTTAGTGTTGATATATTGAGTAGAAATTTTTATGTAGGTACAATAATGCAAATTTATTTTATCAGTTATGCCTCGCGTGTATACCATGTTCATTAATGAATAATTTGCAAAAGGTTTGTTGATTAAATAAATAATGGAAGTAAAAGTGGATTTTATTTCAGTGACTAAATAGCTATTAAATAATCAGAAACTAGTATTATGTAAGAATTACATAGGGGCAATAAGTAATAATGTAGAATAAATTAAAATACAAAAAAATGGTAGTTAGCTAGAAATTATAATTTATTAGGTAGGTACCGACACAAGTGGCAGCCCTAGAGAATTTCCCTATTGGCCTTATTTTCGTCCCGATTGACCCCAATTTCTGGGTGAATAGGGATAGGCTATATTTTAGCTTTTTTATGCATAAACTGAAATGCTAATTGCATAATTTATGTTTAATTACAAAGATACCATCACGACTCAATTATTACAATCGCCTTACAGCAAATTTTCTATAAAAAAACGCCTTAACTTTCTTATAAAGTTCAGATTTGTCCCTATTCACCCCATTTTACGGTACTACTTCTAATAATAATTACCAAATGTGTTTAAAATATGTTATCTCAGTCTCGGCAACCACGCTTGCGACTACTACGAGTTGTTGTTTTTAAATGATCCGCCTAATAATCTTTGATTTAACAACATTTCACAATTCATTTAATAACTACCTACCTACCATTGCATACAAGACAAGCAGCAATTTAGACTTTATGATAAAAATAAACTCAGAATGTTCTCTACCAAATCTTAGCCATATTGAATATCTATATTATTTATACAAATAAACAAATAACTAGTTATGTATATGAGTATGTTGTTTAGGTTGGCCACATAGCTTATCAACGACGATAAAAATCGCCATTTCTTTTCAATGTTAGTTTGCTAATGAAGTTTGTTATCTTGAACAATACTTAATAAAAATGCTATGCTGCTATGATTCCTGTTTCAATGCAACTATGACCAACCTATTAACATAAACCATTAACTTGAGTTTGTGGGTAGAAAATTTTGTGTAAATGTCATGTTAACTTGCTAAATAGATAAATTATTATTATTATATGCGTAGCTATCGTAAAATATTATAAAATATATTTTACGGCATATTCACGTATATGTTTGAGTAAGTACCTCGTTTAGTTTCAAGCGATGCAAGGGGCTTATATTTGTGAATAGCGTTGCGCAATAACATCGCGAACGTTGCGTAACCAACTGTCATTGGCAGTTAATTGTTTTAATGTAATGAGTTTTATGAGTAGTTTATTTTATTATGTATAACTAACTATACTAATGCGAAAGCATGTTGTGTCATCAGCCATTGCATACAAACTACAAAGATGCATAGCACATGCGTGTTAGTAATAAAAATATCTAGAGCGAGATTGTGTTGTCCTATACTTAAAAACATGAAAATGTAATATTCATCAAACTTTTTATAGCTCGGCTTCTGTTAATAAAAAATGTAATAATGTAAAATGAAATAACATTCTTCATTATGTACCACTTACAATAATAACTACAAGTGAAGAATATGACGGTCTAAAGTGGTGTGAACTCACACTTCATAGATTTCATCATACTATTTTCAAAGCTATTTTCAATGTACAAAACATGTTTGTTTAATATATGTTTACATATTTAACACGTGAATTCTTTTATAAATTCCAGGGTCATCTGCTAAAAATGCATGGTTTAAAGAGAACAATATTTAGAAAGAACAAATTGAAGTACAGAGCATTTCTGTTAATGGAGATGGATAAAGCTATCATCAGGGAAGGTGGAGTGGAAGCTCTGACGATGGACACGCTACGATACGCTTGTCACATAAGAGGTTTGAACGGTAGTCATCTAACAAACCAAGAAATGAAGAATTGGTTGTTAAAATGGTTGAAAATATCACAAAATGTTGATAAAAATTCATACTCGCTCTTGTTACACGCGCCTATTTTCTTAGCTTACAATCATCCACAAAATTGGGTGTTAATATACTAAATGTTTTGTAACCTTAATAGTTTTGAAGGTATTACCTCTAACAGCAAACGCCAAAATGTAAATTCTGATAGTCTGTAATATTGTGGGTGGCAGTATTGATAAAATATGATATTTTTACATTTCTGCTAACGACACAGGGTTATAGGAAAGTTGATATTGACAAAAATGTAACTTGAACTCTAAACTTATCTGAACTATTGTTTTCTTTCATCTGAATGTCTGTATCTAGTCTCTAACTGCATGTCATTACTGCTTATATTTCTCCAAAGCTGATTGACACCAATTAGTACTCAATTCGACATCTGATTTAATTATAACTGTTGTACATGAATTTGTTACATATATTTACGAGCTTTTTGCTTCTTTGGCGCCATCTAGGGAGTACAACATTAGACAGTGCGTACTCGTTTGTCTTAACCCCGTGGTATCTTTGTAGCAATAAGAACAACATTATATTTACGTCAATAATAATTTATTTTAACTCTGAATGAAATCCATCCATTCGGTTCAGTTGTATCGTAGTTCGTAGTTTTCACGTAAAGCGACATTTCATTTTATTTTATTTATTTTCAATTATGTCAATTTAATTAAGTGTAATAATGGCAATAATTTATGCTTAATGTATCAGTAAAAATAATGTTTGACACCATAGTGTAAGTTATCGAATATTTTTATTAGTTATAAGTAACTTATTAAGGGCAGAGAAAATAAACAAGAATATATTATAAATACTTCCTTTATAAATAAAGTATTTATAATACTTTACACTATTAGAAACGTTTATTTCTTATTTTTGAGTGATATAGGGGTATGGAAAATAGTAAGAATCAAAGTTGTTAGTTACTTACTGTTATTGCAGGTTCATAAGCCATCTCAGTCACTTGAGACGTTCAACTCCGTTCTTCAGGGTATATGTTACTATTCGAATACATAAATAACAAATGATACGTTATGTATTTTGACCATTTATCATTATATAGCTAGCACTGTTGGTCAATTGTGGAATCTAAAAATAGATTGTGTGGTCTGGATCTTGAAATAATGTCGAGCTCTTTTGAGCGTAAACAAAAACAATAACAAGTAATAGCAGTTTGTCACGCCATGACCTAATAGATTTGTCTTAGTAAGTTACGTCATATCAACCACTACAGTATTGCGCGCCGCACAGGCCTACACTCGCATTGGTTCAAAAACTGCTCCAATTTTCTTTGACATTGGTGGGTGCACATGTGGGCTATAGGGGCTAACGATTTTTGTACCAGATCGCCATCTGGTGTCAAATGTAGGAAGAGGTTTTGCCCAATCGCCACAGTTGTCAAAATATTGAACGTCCAGTGTTAAAAGCAATGTTGTAGGTATGTAACTGACAACTAGATTTGACCACGATCAAAGCCCAAGTGAAATTGATTCCTATTTAGTTATCTTACAGTCTAATTTAAAATGGACGCTAAACACACAATAACTTAGTGTTAAAAGCAATGTTACCTGTGTTATTCGAAACCTTTACTTTTAAGCAACTTTTTATTTATTGACGTGAAACGTCTAGATTTATTTTGTAATGACTCCTCAATGTTTAAACAATTTGGAGCAACAATATAAACATTATGATGTCTTGAATGTTTTGTCTTTTTAAAGCTAAAATGTGTTAATATTTTGAGCAATAAATAGATTAAATTCCTAAGGGCCGATTTTTCAATCAGTAATTAATTTTAAACTATAGAATAAAATTGACACTTGTCAGTTTTTAGTATGGAAGAATTTGTCTAATATTCAAAGTTATTCATCTGATAAACTGTAACTGAGCATTGAAAAACCGGCCCTTAGTGAGTGCTACACAGAAATGTGTTAGAATAGAACTAACTGCGAACGCTATGAGTGTTTGTTTGTATTTAATTTAAGCTTTACTAAATGGCCAGCTTACAATAAGGGCCGTACCGTATTTTTACTCAACAGATGCTGCTAATAGACGCTGTCGGTCAAAGGTCCAAAAGTCCACTGCCACCGTAAGACTACTATCGGTTGCGCTGCAGCGCTTATATACACATGCACACGCAAATTTTTATCCGTGTGCGTACGCGTGCGTGTGTTTATGTGTGCGCACGCGTTTTTATCCACATTAATATGAAATTACTTACGCATTGCCGTGTCAACATCACTCACGGTGGCATTGGACTTTTGACCTTTGACTGTTAATACAGGGCAACTTGTAACTCGACGTATCCCTCCCGGGAGGTGATAATATTACTAATTTCCTACAAAATTAGCCCTCAGGTCCCTAGTTCAAAAGTGGCTATAGTTTCTGAGATCTTCAACAGTTTTGGTATTTTTGTAAAAAAATTCCGAACACAAAAACATCAATAAATAGAAATCTGTATTGTATGTAATCAGTTGCTAATACATCAATAAACGTTTATTAATAGGAATACGTTGAGTTACAAGTCACCAGTAAGAAGTATTACAATTTACTTAATTATTGGCAACCTTGCCATTGACAGAACTCAAGCTACATTATAGTCATCTGGTAAACAATCAGACGGTAGTCTTCATTGTGTGTGTGAAGTATTCATCTCAATCCTTGCAAGTAAATACTTTGTATATAATTCCTATATTAAGCTATGTTTTAACTAGTCTATTGTCAAAGTCAAAACTTTTTCTTTAGGAGATCTATTCAGTCAGTATATTAAGAGTACCCTTAATCGGTTAAGGGTGCGAGCATGCATCAAAAGATTGATGAAGCGAAAAAGGTATGTAGGAATCGTAGCAATTGGCGTTCCATAGTCTCTACCCCCATGGGAGACAGGCGTGAAGTTACGTATGTATGTACATCTATTCTCAGTTTAACTAGTATTAGAAAAAGTTGTTAGTAAAGCAGTACAGAGATACCCTTTGTTGGCTACTGAATTTACCAATTGTTTACTTTATTATTTGTTATAAATATATGGTTTCGTTAAAACCTACAAATTGAAATAACAATAAGTATTCTGTACTCTATTTTGTTACCTGTATACCAAATGACTTGCTGCCTATACGGAAACTTCGTCTATTTTTGCTAAACTATTATCTTCTAACCTAATGAATGTTTAATGTAATCGTATCAACAGTAGCCAACTTATTTCTCATATATTGTAATAACCGATACTTTCTTCTTTATAAACTATTTCTAAGTATGCACAACTGTATAATAGGTACAATATTTTTTTAAACTACATTCTAAGTGTATATTTTACACTAAAAGTGGTAGTTGCGAGTATTTTTCGAAAGCAATTTTTTTGTATTCAAACGCTAAATTATATGCAAGTTCATGCTCAATCGTTCAGACAAGCAATATTCATTCAGTTCTATATTTTCGATTAGTCGCAAGTGCGACTGCTGGGCAAGGTCTCGGGTTCGATTCCCGGGTCGAGCAAAGTATTACTGGGTTTTAAAAATTATCAGTAGTAGCACGGAGTGTAGAATTGTGTCCTGTATATGGCAATGGGCTCACCCCCTACTACATAGTACTCAACATAAATAGTTATAAAAGTGGGTGTTACATTGTACAGTGGCATTAAGTACCATAATGTGCACCTCTGCCTAACGCTTTGGGTGTAAAAGGCGTGATGTTGTGTAATATATGTTCTATATTTATCTAATGTTCCTTGCAGAAGAATGATAACTAGTGGATGGTAAGAACGCCGACACACTTGTCAGACCGCCAACACCCTTTAGTATTGTGAGTGTCCATAGGGGGAACTGATTGCTGACCATCAGATGATCCCTCAGGCCATTTGCTCGCCTATAAAGTAATGTATCGCCTATTTCATGCATATCTAAGGTGCTTAGATAATATAACTTAAGAATTAAATGTATAAATATCGCTTAAACGCAATACAATATAGCTTTTGTATTTTATAGTACGTAGATACAGTCAGCACAGGTATTTACGACGCTGTAGAAAAAATAATAAAAACATACGTGTCTAACATTTTTTCGTTACTAATTAGATTTTTAGTGAAACAAGTAAATTTATTTATATAAATAGGCTATAATGCAGCACTTTTACACGTCATTTTATAAAGCGAACTATAAAGTCGAAAATTAATTTTCATACCCTGTCATCATCCCAATTTAGTTTATTAATAGACACTATCTCTGTACTCGGTCAATCTTTGTTTTCTGATGTGCATAGTAAATAGCTGTGCTGGCTGTATGCACTATATATGTAATATTAAAAAAAAAAACTACCAATGAAATTAAACAATCCTTTGTCCGTCCTCCATCGACGATGGCCGTCATTATGGCCGTAAACCTTAATGTATTTTTTATTTGTAGTTTAGCAATTTTGAGTTTCTGATTAAAGTAAATAGAATCATAATTTTGTTGTTATTCCTTACCTTCAAATACATATGTATAATAAATATGATTTTACTAAATTGTAAATTGCTAAGAGTGTTTCTTAGAAATATACTGAAAGCTATGTTTGCAAAGAAACATTTGATAAATTATAATAAGTACACTGGGTGCTATAGCTATTATTTCATTGTTTTGTTTTGCAGTAACAGTATTATAGATTTGGTTGTAAGAACAATAATGCCGTAAGCATTAATCATAGATAAATAGTTCGGCTGTTTTAATGAATTGTTATCTAATATTTTGCGTTCTAATATGACAAGTATTTGTGTTAGTGTAGTCATAATTTGGGTTGCACTGTATTTTTTATTTATTTAGGTATATTTAAGCTATTTTGTGTTGGTTGAAAATAAATGAGAGGAATCTGTTTACAATTTTAAAATTATTTATGATTAAATATTAATTTTACATCAAAAATACATAAAGATATTTTATTTTACAATATCTTGAAGAATAAAGAGTTCGTTTAACAAATTATAAAAACATAGTGTGAAGATACAGTATTTCTCATCTCATTAAACCTGTTTATACCTTTATTTTACCTTAACCTTTTGAAATGTCTATGTAACAAAGCAAGTTACATAATCACTAAAGTACTTAGTTGAAGTGGA